TCAGGGTCAGGGTACATTTCTTTGGTTCTGGTTGCAGGGCCAAAGTGTGTTTCTTTGGCTCTGCTCAGGGTGTGTTTCTTTGACTGGCCCCTTGTCCCTACAGCCAATCTGAGCTCAGCACTAAAATCTGACCAATCCCCACCCTGTAAGCCCTATATAAACCCTGTGTCTGTTCAGCTTGTGTCTGTTTACGTTACCAGGCTACAGAGGGCAGCCACTTTCCTGGATTCTTCCTTCCAATAAACCCCTTCGGATGAGCTTTGGGTGAAGGTCTTTTGTGGCAGCAATGGAGCAGAGGCAACCCTGGGCAGAGCAGAGCAAGCAGGGCTGTAACACTTGCTGGGGAAACCTTCCCTTGGCAGGGCGGAGTTGCCTGCTCTCCAGGAGCAGAGCTGAACCATAACAACTTCACCTCCTGCCGAGCAAAACTGCTACACTGAGCGAACATCCCCAGCAGGAAGACCCTAAACTCCTGCCAATAAGTTGGTCACCTTGCTTGGTGACCTCTACTCTCCTTAAAGAGGAAACCAGAAGATCAAACAGCTGATTGACCACATGGGTGGTGGTGGCAGACACATGGGACAGGAGCAAGTGATGCAGTAGAAGCCACCACTGTGGCCATCCGTGTGGTAACAGGTTTGGGGTGACAAATGTTAAACAGTAGCATGGTACCCAACTTCAGAAAGCCTTGACATTTGAGCAGGAGAGGTACCGGTGGTCAGGTTGACAATGTGCACATTCTTACCACGTCTGGATCCATGCAGGTGTTTTTAGGAAGCTGAAAGATCAGCCAGATGTGGTACTTCTCACCTGTAATTCGGGCACTCAGATGCGGCAGAAGGATGAATGTGAATTCAAGGTCAGCCGCACCACTGTTCTGTGCAGCATGGGCTATAGTATGAGACCATGTTTCAAAACCGAACAACAACAAAAGAGCTGGTCATAGTGGTGCAGGCCTTTAATCTTAGCATTCCAGAGACAGAGGCAGGCGAACCTCTGAGTTCGAGGCCAGTCTCATCTACAGAGCAAGCTCCAGGACAGCCTGTCTCCAAAAACAACAAAACAAAAACAGGACTGGAGAGATGGCTCAGAGGTTAAGAGTACCAGCTATTCTCCCAGAGGACCTGAGTTCAATTCTCAACACCCACAGGATGACTCACAACTATCCATAATGAGATCTGGTGTCCTCTTCTGGCCTACAGGGATACATGCAGACAGAACAATGTATATATAATAAATAAATAAATATTAAAAAAAACAAAACAGGGACTGTCCTGTGCAGACTGGATTGTCTGTAGAGAAAGGAGCCAAATGATTCCCCCCCCCCAGATGGTTTTGTAAAATTCAGGAGACATACAAATAGACTTTGAGTGCCCATGCCACAATATGGGATGCTCTCTCAGCCAAGCAGGGCCTAGGCCCTACCCTGGATGAAATGACAGTCACTGGAGATCCACCATGGAGGGCTTCACCCTCCCTGGGGATCGGAGTGGAGATTGGGACTGGGGGACCTGGTGGGGAGGATGGAGAAGGAGGAGGAGGAGAGGGAGCTGGGATTGACATGTGAAACAAGCTTGTTTCTAACTTAAAAAAAAAACCGTGGTTGTCAGCTTGATGACAGAATCTAGAATCTCTTAGAATGCAAGCTTTCAGACACACCCATGAGGAATTGTCTAGATCAGTTCTCAAGCTGCGGGTCATTCAGCCCCCTTTCACAGGGGTTGCATATCAGAGAGCCTGCATATCAGATATTAACATTATAATTCATAGCAGTAGCAAAAATACAGTTATGAAGTAGCAACAAAATAATGTTATGGTTGCGGGTCACCACACTAGGAACTATATTAAAGAATTGCAGCATTAGGGAGGTTGGGAACCACTGCTATAGATTAAGCTTAGCCTTTGAGAATCTGTGTTGGCTAGTTTTTTTTTGTTTTGTTTTGTTTTTTGTTTTTGTTGTTGTTGCTTTGGTTTTGGTTTTTTGTGACTTAGCACATGCTACAGTCATTTGGGAAGAGGGACTATCAGCTGATGAATTGCCTCCATCAGATTGGCTTGTAGGCAATGTTTTGGGCATTTTACTGATCAATGATTGATATAGGAGGGCTAGCCCACTGTGGGAGGTGTCACCCCTAGGCAGGCAGTCCTGGGTTGTATGAGAAACTAAACTGAGCAAACCCTGGGGAGCGAGCCGGTAAGCAGTATTCCTCTGTGGTTTCTGAAACAGTTCCTGACTCTAGGGCCCTGCCTTGAGTTCCTGCCCTAACTTTCCTCAAAGATGGACAATCATTGGGATGTGTAAGTCAAGTAAACCCTTTCCTTTCCAAGTTGCTTTTGGTCATGATCTTTATCACAACAATAGAGATCAAACTAAGACTCAATGTCTGTTCCGGATTGTCTTCATTAGGGAAGACACACCCACTGTGGGTGGCGCCATTCCCTGGACCACCCTAGAGTGTATGAAGAGGAGACCGAGACCTGAGCACAAGCATTCGTTGCTTTCTGCTCAAGAAAGCAATCAACTGAGCAGCAAAAACCCAAACCCTAAAATAATTCTGAAGATCTTCCAGTTGGGCAGAATCGTTTTGGAAGCTGGGTGTTTGTGACCAGTACCCACAGTGACATCAAGATACCAACTGTCTGTCCACGGTGACCGCTCTGGAGCTCCTCGTGTAGGATTTGGCTTCCATACAGCAACCTTTACACTTCTGAAAAAGAAGAAATAGAAAAAGGTTGATGCAGCAAAGCAAACGAGGACCATAAAATGGTAGTTCTATAAATCTGAATCAAAATGAGCTTCATTCACAGACTCTCAAAACCAAAGCGGTTTTGTATGGCTCATGTCAATGCCTCTTGTAGAGCAGAAAGCAAAGCCATGAGGGGAAAACATAGCGGCCATTACATGTTGCTTGGCCTTCCATGGTCAGGAGTAAGGACAGTTGCCACCCGCCCTTGTAGTTTGCCGGATGGCACACACACACAGCAACTGGAACTTGTTTTGTTCATCTCATCATTTAAACACAAAAACATGGAAGTAAAAAACATTTTTTTCAGTGCAAAAGGCATAAATTCCAAACATTCATTTAGGAAACAGTTTTTGTCTATTTCTGATGCCACAATGAGTCATTGCATTTCATACATTTTAATGTACAGTACATTCATTCCTATGCCAAGATGACATGTTATTTTAAAACTTATCTGTTAACACAGCAAGCCTTTCCCTTACCTTACATAATTAAACATTTTATTATTGGGTATATGGGAAAGATTGAGACTCTTTTTACATTACAGGCATCACAGGTTTTTAACTACCCATGTACCTGAAGAAAATTTTATCATTTTATTTCTTTTCAAAAAAAAATCCCTGCTTTATTACTCAACTTACATAATAATTCAAATGATTTCAGGTTAGTGGCATAGGCTTGTAGAACCTGCACTCTGAAGGCAGAGGCAGGAGGATCCTGAGCTTATGGCCAGCCCGGGGAACATGGTGAGACCATGTCTTAGAAAGTTAAGTTCAGTGTGCTGGAAAGAGTTATGTGGGGAAGATATTCTCCAGTTAAAATTTTGGGATTTAGAGATGAATGGCGCAAGAGACTTGAGCCCCCTTAGGATGGATAAAGACCAGTGATGTTTATGGTGAGACTCTCCGTTCCCTGCTCTCTCAAGGCAGCCTGAGGAGGGTAGGCCTACAGGGTCCAGAAAGTTTTGCCTGTGGTCCTGGCACCCACTCTCCTACTCCATCTCAGTATTATCCCTCTAGGTTCCTCCCTGAGAGCCTTGATTTTTTTTTTAAAGATTTATTTATTTGTTACAAACACAACACCCTGCCTCCATGTATGTCTACACATCAGAAGAGGGCACCAGATCTCATTACAGATGGTTGTGAGCCACCATGTGGTTGCTGGGAATTGAACTCATGACCTCTGGAAGAGCAGTCAGTGCTCTTAACCTCTGAGTCATCTCTCCAGCCGGAGAGCCTTGATTTCTTAGGCATCCAAGAGGTACTGTCTTCCCCCGTACACAGTGGGATCCCCCAGTATCTGTACATATGTATCCATAGTGCCTGATCCCCGCTATCTAATAAAACAGCAGGTACACAGTGGAGACTAGGGGACAAAAGGAAGCAGAGTTTTCATCTGTGACTCTATGGCATGTGATTTATCTGGTGGCTCTGCCTCAGACTCAAGGTGTCTTAGTCAGTGTTCTATTTCTGTGAAGAGACACCATGACCAAGGAGACTCTTATAAAAGAAAACATTTAATTAGGGGGCTTGCTTCCAATTTCAGAGGTTTAGTTCACTATTGTCATGGAGGGGGGCACGGTGTCATGCAGGCAGGTGCTGGAGCAGTTGCTGAGAGCTACATCATGACCCACAGGCAGAGAGAGACTCTGAGACATCAAAGCCCAACCCCAGTGACACACTTCCTCCAACGAGGCCACACCTCCTAATCCTTCTCAAGCAGTGCCACTCCCTGATGACTAAGCATTCAAATATATAAGCCCTGGGGGCCGTTCTTATTCAAACCATCACACAGGGGCAGATTCCCCAAATGCTAGTGGATTTGCTTACAGCATCTTCACAACTTTCTTATTAACTGGGAACTGTGTGTGTCCCTTTTACAGCACTGAGAAACAAATAAATCCTACCCAACATGCATTTACTTTCTCACCTATTTCTAACTTCGGAGAGAAACTGTCTTCAAAGTTGATGCTGCCTTCATTTACCCTGGCCTTCCCCACCCATACCCCTAGGATCCCAGAGGCTGGCATTCTGCAATCGGCTTCCCATCTTACAGTGACATGCTTGAGACCTAACTGTAAGGTACTAGCCTTAGGTCACTGAGGAGGCCTAGGTTATCTATCTGACAACCACTGCTAATCACTACACCTTCCATCTTCCAGAGCTCCACATCCCAACCCCTAAAATCCACAAGTACATTATCTTAGGATGCTTTAAAGGGGGATTTTGTAGGTACAATTACACCAAAGACACAGGATTGGAAGGAGGTCATGGTTCATCCCGAGTCGGTCTTATAGAATCACTGGGACTCTCATGGTGGAGAGAAGGAGGACGAAGAGTCAGGGGCATGACAATGTGATGACAGCAACAGAGGGCAGAGGTGTAACTAAACAAAGCAGTGATTATGCTGGGCAGGGAGTTAGTTTCGAGGTAACCAAGGAAAACTGCAGCTGGATCTTGGGAACTGTGATTCTCACGACATCTCTTCTGGTGAAAAATCCTTGAGGCTGCAGTTGGGTCATTCCTGTTAGATGGGGAAAACGATGCATTGTTTTCACATGCGTGCGATAACAAAGGGTCCGCATCTGCCAAAGACCCTTCCTTCATTATAGCATCATTTGCATTGTGGCCCTTGACGCTCACCCTGTGTGGGTTTTCCTAGGGGAACATGGGGGGAAATATCCTGAAGGGGAGATCCTGTCCACCATGGTTTGAGAAGGAAAGGGGTCATCTTACCCTAGGACATTGTCAACCACCTCATAAATATTCATTAAATGCCCACAGCCATGCCACCCACCTAATAAATATTCATAAAATACAATTTTGCTTAAATCGTTCTCTTGCCTGAAACTGAGAGCCCCACACCCATAAGAGCAGGATTGGCCAGGCCAAGGAATGCAGGCAGCTTCCAGAATGTAGAAAGACACAGAGCAGTCTTTGCCAGAGTGGATGTAGCTTTAGCAATACCTAGGCTTTCACCAAGACTTCTGACCTCCAAGATCATAAATTGACGTACGTGGTGGTGCATTGTTTTCTCCTTTCTTCTTTCATGACTGAACCTAGGGCGCTGTGCATACTAGGTGAGTGTTCTGCCGTTGAGCTATATTCCCTGCACCTTTAAATAAAAAAAATTCTTAATCACATTTATATAATATGTGTACTTATTGATGGTTACATAACAAAGTGTATTTGGCGGTCAGAAGACCATTTCGGGGTTCAGTTCTCTCTTTGCATCAACGTGGGTCCCAGGGATCGAACTCGGGTCACCATGCTTGGTGGCAGCTACCTTTGCCCACAGAGCCACCTTGCCCTCCTCTTAACATTCTTTTATTTTTGAGATATAGTCTCCCTATGTTGTCCAGCTCAGCCTTGAACTTCCTCAGTAGCCCAAACAGCCTTGAATTTTCTACCCTGCCTCAGCCTCTAGTAGCTAGTTTCATGGGCCATTGCTGTTGTGTGATGTTTTACTCTTTTTGCTCTTTAGTCTTTTGACCCAATAAAGCACACATGGAGGCTTATTCTTAGCTATGAATGCCCGACCTTAGCTTGGCTTGTTTCTTGCCAGTTTTTCTTACCTTAAATTATCCCATCCATCTTTGGCTTTGGGGCTTTTATCTTTCTCTATTCCTGTATACCTTTTCTTTTCTTCTTACTCCATGTCTGGCTGTGTAAGTTGGGTGGCTGTGTGGCTGTGTGGCTGTGTGGCTGGGTGGCTGGGTGGCTGGGTGACTGGGTGGCTGGGTGGCTGGGTGGCTGGGTGACTGGGTGGCTGGGTGGCTGGGTGACTGGGTGGCTGGGTGGCTGGGTGGCTGGGTGGCTGGGTGGCTGGCCGCTGAAGTCCTCCTTCCTCTCTTGTTCCCAGATTCCCCTTCTCCCAGATTTCTCCTCATATTTATCCTCTCTGCCTACCAGCCCCACCTGTTTCTCTCTCCTGCCTCACTATTGGCTGTCCAGTTCTTTATTAGATCATCAGGTGTTTTAGGCAGGCACAGCAACACAGCTTCATAGAGTTAAACAAATGCAACATAAACAAGTCACACACCTTAAAACAATATATCCCAAAACATTGCCACCAGGCCTGGCTTTCTGGCATTATTTTAAATCACTAATTTTGTGTCTTAGCATCAATAGAAAACCATCACAGTATAATCACTGGAAAACCCAAAATAAGATGTCAGTGGAAGTACTGCCAATAATATCCGCAGAAGGCTATGGATTTGAAGTGGATTCCAACATTTGACACAATACACCAAACCAATGTAGATAGGGTTGGAAGGCAGGACCAGGGATTTATTGATTTTGGGAAGTCCTGAAATGGATTAAGCAGATGTCTACTAATTCTTGTGTGTGTGTGTGTGTGTGTGTGTGTGTGTGTGTGTGTGTGTGTGTGTGTGTGTGTGTGTAAGTTCCTCTGCTTTGCAAACACCTTAGATTCCTCTGTTCTTGGAACTGCTTCATTTATGAATTGGTTTGTTTTTGTTTTCCTTGTTCAAAAATAAGCTCTATTTGCTACCACTGGCCTAAAGAATTCTTCCTTTCAGGAACACAATTATATCAATAATTAAATATGGAAGGCATGGACCCATCTACTAAATAACAAGCTTGTCAGACTGGATTTGCTTAAAATTCATCCATGTGCCATTCATGAGAGGCATTATTGTGAAGTAATTCCACCAGAAAACACACAGACTCTCTTAACACAGAAAGTCTGTATTGCCATCCAGAGACTGCACGGGGGACTTGCTCAAACCGTGCTGCCCCAAGCCTCACTGCTCTTTGCCTTGTATGCACAAACACATACCACATCCTGTTAACACACTTCAGTTAGCAAGAACAGTTAGTAAGAAGTGTGACTGCAGAAGCCAAAAAGCAAAGTTAGTACATTTAGGGACCTTCCCAGAGCCCGAACTACAGACTATGTCCTTGATGGATTGGGTCTTTGTTCCCGTTTTTGTCACATGTTGGGGCCTATGTACTGGGTTCTAACATCAGAATGTGCCTCCAACGTGTCGTCAGTTGTGCTAAGGTTAAGTATACTTGAAACAAAATGGCACTGAATGGCCATGGAAACTCCCACAACTGTAGTCTCAGGTAACTGAAGCCACCCCCAATTTACTGACACGCAGTCATAACCATTTCATTTGCCCCTGATGCATCGGGTCAGTGATTTAAACTACAAGGCAGATCAGCCGCCTCCCCTGGGGTCATCTAAGCAACCTAGCACTTCCTCTTGTTCATCGTGGATGCTAGCCCAGACTTCTGCACAGGGGGGCAGCAGTGTGCCAGATGATACTCGGCAGTCCTCAATCTCTGGAAATCCCAATTTGTAGCTGGCCACCTTCTTTGCAATTGGCCTGAAGTTGGGGTCAGACTTACGGAGCTGAGCCCTCAGCCTGTGGGGTCTGACGCTGCCTCCATGCAGGTAAGAATGGATTTGATGTCCAGCAGACTCTGATTGCTTGTGTGCTAGTTGGCAGGAACACCCGCACATTTAGGATTGCATCATTGAACTGTGTTGTGAGAGTACAATGGAAGACTCCGAGTTTGGCTTGCTTTTTCCCTCTCTTCACCGTATAGTTCATGGGGTGGGTAGACCTTTTATCCATAGATAGCTACTTGTTCTTGCATATTGATGAGCATATGAAGGGGGGAGGTATGGAGAGAGAAAGGAAGACAGATAGATCAAGGGGGTCTAAGCAGCTGACACACTAGCTTAGACTATTGAAGGTCTAAGGGATCTGCTGGTTATCAACAGCCACGGTCAGCAATCTAGGGGGTAGAGCACGACCCCACCCTGCAGGCAGGAATGCCTCGACGGGCTGGGAGTCCAGGGTACATGCTGTTTTCTTCTGATCCCATGCCACAGACGAGCTCATGCACAGAGGAAAGCAGTGGCAGCTGAGAGCAGCCCAGTGTTTGATCTTGATTATTAACTTGATGGGATTTACAATCACCATGGAAACAAGCTTCCCTGCTCGTCTGTGAGGGAGTTTCGAGTGAATCAAACTGGGAAGGCCCAGTAAATGTGGATGGCGCTTGTCTTTGAGCTGGTGTTTCTGGCTGAATAAAAAGGGGGGGCAGAAGCTGTGTACCAGCGCTGGTCTCCCTTCGCTTCCTGACTGTTTACACAGTAGAGCTGACTGCCTCGAGCACTTGCCACCATGACATGCCACCATTAGGGACTGTACCCTCAAACTTGGAGCCAAAATAGATCCCTTTTGTGCCTACAGTAGGCAAAGCAACTAATACAAACATGTGCGATCCAGAAACTAGAATAGATCAAGGATCAATGTCCAGAAGGCCCCAATCAATCAAGAACTAATTGATGCCAGAACACGTGGGTAAGAGGGGAGCTGTTGGTTTTTTGTTTGTTTGTTTTTTGATGATGAAGTCATCCAGCTAGTGATGAGGCTTGCCCATGGTACCCTAGAATAAAATAGTGTTTTATCTACACAGTCCAAAACAGAGGGCATCTTGATAGTGATTATCTTAGCCTGAATCTAGAGCCTTCTTATCCCCAAATTCTACTTACAGCCTCACTATTCACATTTGATTGCGTCAGTTAAGACACAGGGTAACCACCGTTCTGTCCTTCGTAGTATGTAACAGAACATCTGTTAGTCTCAAAAGTACCACCCCCACCCACCCCCCACCTCCTTCCAGCTACCCAGCCCTCCCTCCATTTACAACACCCAACACAAACCTAAGACATCATAGATCCCTGTGTAGCCCGTGTCTTTGTTTACACCCCCTCTGATTACTTGTAGACGGGAAACACGAAGGTAGTTGGAGCTATTTGGGTACCAAAGAATAATGCAGAAGGAGACACTCAGCTAAAATGTGCTAAATAAATAACTACAAAGATACAGGCGTAAAAGGGGGAGGGGTGATAGAGTGGGAACAGAAAGCCCCTGCCAGGTGGGTGAGACTCTTGCTCAGTAGCTGTTTGGGTTTTGACTTACACGGGCAGCTTTAGAGTCTGGGAAGTTAGTCGTGGGCGCTGCCCATGTTAGGCTGCAGACAAGGACAGGCGAGCATGAGCACCACAGAGGGAGACATTGAAGCCCCTCTATTCCAGTGGCCCTCAACCTTCCCAATGCTGAGACCCTTTAATACAGTTCCTCATGTTGTGGGGACCCTCCCGACCACAAAATTATCTTTGTTGCTACTTCCTAACTGTAGTTTTTGCTACTGTTATGAGTCATGAATGTAAAGATCTGATTTGCAGGATGTCTGATACGCTTGGCCCATGGGTTGAGAACCGTTGTTCCGTTCTGTAGTCTGCCTTCCGGTTTCAGATCCTGAGACAGTTTCTTCTCCCTTGCCCACTCAGCTTTGTCTGCCCTCCCTTCCAAGTGTTCCAAGAATTCTGGGACCTGAAGAGAGAGGGGGGAAGGCAGGTAGTCCTATCTCCACCCCCCTCCTCCCCCCCCAGTTCTCAGTCCCACACTTAGGTCTGCCCCCAGGGCCACCTGGGCTGAGGAGCCTCTAGTCTGGGCCACCTCACCTGCAAAATCCTTCATATGCAAGGGTGGGGGACTGTGGGCTTGCGGTGGCACCCACCTGTAATTCCCAGTACTGAGGCAGGAGCATAGACTTTGAGGCTAGCCTGAGCTACATAACACGTTGGCCAACATCCTGGATTACAAAGGGAGTCTTTGTTCCAAAAACTAACCAAATCCAAACAGAGCATGCAAGGGAGCTGGGGGACAGTGAGCTCAATGGCGGAGCTTGCCTAGCAAACTGAAGGCTCGGGTTCGATTGGGAGGGACATAGAGCTCGACAGCATTGGGCACCTCATTCCTGCACACTACTACTGGGTGCTGAGGTTGCATCAGCGGGACCCGGCCTCAGCTGCAAAGCAGGGAGCATCTGCAGCGGCTACCCACATAGGGCCTGGTGCCTAGCCAACCACACTCTGCAGGACGTGGGCTTGACCTAGGTGTTCCCAAGGACATGGAATGTCTCCGTGTGCTCACTGTCGCCCTCAGTGTGCCTTCCGGTCAAAGCCTCGGATTCTCAACCTTTATTTCTTTAGGGGCGGGGGGGGGGGGGTCGGTCCTCAAGGCAAATGGAGAACACAGCATCCTGCATCTTACACGGGTCGAGTAGGCACCAGAATCCCTCTTCGAACCTAGGCCACTAGGTGCCTGGAGGATGCTGGCCAGGTCCCAGGAGGTGGGTCTGCTCTGGGGCTTCGATCCGGGCTCCGGAGGGCCCGCCCTCTTTGGTGCGCAGAGGCAGGGACGAGGTCTGTGCTCAAGGCAGGCGGGCTCAGACCCAAGAGCCACACCGCGGGGCGGCAGGGGCTTGCTCTGCTCTTTGGCCTCCGGAAGGCTAATTAATGAGGTGACCCACAGGAGGCTGGGCAGACCGGCCTCTCCAACTGCCGGATTACCGGGCCACACGCGGTGGGCAGAAGAGTCCTGTCTGCCGACCATGGAGCGCTGCGTGAGAGTCAAGTCTTGGGTAGAAAAGAATCGGGCCTCTTTCCAGCCCCCGGTTTGCAACAAGCTTATGTGAGTCCCCAGCACCCGGTGACTTCTACCCCTTTCTTATTTCTCTTCCCCTTCCTCTTCTTTTTCCAATTGTTCCCTCCCCCTCCAGCCTGAGGCCCCCACACCCAGAAGGGTGTGGAAGACCATCTTCTTGGTGCTTTCAGGGGAGCGTGAAGACTGGCTGTTTCAGGTTTCACTACCTCCGTCTGTTCCTCTTTCTGAAGACCACAGTAAAGACGGCTTCTCTACTGGCTTCTGAGACTGACTTGAGTGTCTCTGAGGCTGAGAGAGATGAGGTGGCTGGATGTGACATTCCTTCCGAGGCTGAAAGCAAACATACACCTTGGGGGAAAATCATGGTTTTTGATGCCCCAGACCTGGAGACAGTTGAACCCTGGCAAAACCTGAAGCCATGGAGTCAGAGGACCGGCTTCTTTGGAGTGTGTGTGTGTGTGTGTGTGTGTGTGTGTATCTCCGTAGCCCAGGCTGGCCTTGACTCGCTATGTCGTTAAGGGTGGGTTTGACCTCCCAGTCTTCCTGCTTCCCCTTCCCAAGGGCTAGAATTATGTGTGTGTGCTACCATGCCATCCCTCTGAGGTGCTGGGGTTGGAACTAGGGGCTTCTGGAATGCTAGGCAAGCACTTTTCCAAATTGAGCTCCATCCCTAGCCCTGGGGCTTCTGGGTTCAGGGCTCAAGGCCACACATGAGAACACGGGGCCCTCCCAGACTTCCTCTGCCTACAGAAGGGACCGACCTGCTCACACCACCTTTCATCTCCTCCACCCCCTCCCCCTCATTTCTGCAGCTGAGCTTCCTGTCCCTGTACTAGTGTGTCTTTACGTCATTTCCAATGAATGGGTGACATCCTAACCCAGACAGCTACAGCCACTTAACCCTCCCACAGGAAGATTAGGCCGATCTTATTCCCATCATCTCATTGCCCCCATGGGGTGGGATTTAATAAGTAACTTTCCCAATGTCATAGAGCTAGCGAGGGACAGAGTCCACACGCAGGCCCAGAAACAGTTTGACTACAAAGTCCACGCACACCCTTGGTCACTGCGCAATACCCCCGTGTCTAACCATGAAGCCCCTTGAAGCCTTCCCTCTCCTCTCTTCTACCTCTTCCGCCTCCCCCAGTTTGGAGCTTTGTCATTTCTGCCTCTTTCCTCCACTCCATCCCTGGCTTTAGTCTCTCATTCACACTCTTCCAACTCCTCCTCTCCCTCTCAAGGCCACGGCCACGGCTCTGAATCTATCCCCACCAGCCCTGCCTCCAGCCCTGCCCCCAATGTTAATTATCACAAGCATTGGCTCTCATTGCCAATCGCCATGATGCTCTGGACTTTGGGGATATGGGAGGAAACAAACTGAAAAAAAAAAAAAGCCTTCCTTGTAGAACTGGGATTCTACTGAGAGCGGACATCAGCCAGTATGAGCGAGCCTTGGCGGTGGCCCTCCATCCGCGGGAGGGCTGCTTTTCATGGAGAGTCTGTGCCATGCCTGGTTCTAGCTTCTGGTGCGTTGCTGGCGTCAGTGACGTGGCGTTCCTCGCTTTCGAGTTCGTGGACCCAGCATCGCCTTTCACCTTCACAGACCCCGCCCTGTTGTGAGTCTCCACATCCAAATTCCCGCTCATAAAACCTCATTTACATTGCACCCAGCAAATCACACGACAACTGGAGCTGTCACCCCTCCTGCTCGGGACTCCTGCTTCCTCAAGGCGCTCTCTCTGTCTCTCTGTTTCTCTCTCTCTCTGTCTCTCTCTCTGTTTCTCTCTCTCTGTCTCTCTCTCTTTAAAGATTTATTTATTTATTACATATACACCAGATTGAATTATAGATGGTTGTGAGCCACCATGTGGTTGCTGGGAATTGAACTCAAGACCTCTGGAAGAGCAGTCAGTGCTCTTAACCTCTAAGCCACCTCTCCAGCCCATCTCTCTCTCTCTCATCCCGTCAAGACCGGCCCCTGTACAGCACTGTTAGAGAGGTAGGCTCTGAGGTTCACACCCAGCTCCTATAAGCTGTGTGATGTAAAGTGTAGCTCACTCCGTTATAACTTACTAAACCAGCAACAGCCCTGTTTCTGAATAAGTTCACCTTCTGAGGTACTGGGGGTTAGAACTCCAACGTAAGAAATGGACCAGTCAGAGGATTCAACCTGTCACACCCCCAGAGATATCTGCATTCTGACTGGGGAGGGGGTGGTTCCCAAATAAAATTGTTCAAGAGCTTTTTGTACCTATTAAAGTTTATTAATAAAAGGCAAAAAACAAACAGACAAAAAAACAAAAGCAAACAAACGAAAAACAGTGGCTGAAGGGAAGGGTCCGTGGGTAAGGGCCTGAAGGCCTAGGCTCAAGTTCTGGGATCCACGTTGATGGAAAGAGAGAACTGATCTCAAAGCTGTCCTTTGACCTCTGACCTCCACACTCACAGCTTATGAGAACATCACTGGGAGAAGCCAGGGCAGGAACCTGCAGGCAGGACTGACGCAGCGGCCATGGAGAATGCTGCTTGCTGGCTTGCTCATCATGGCTTGCTCAGCCTGCTTCGTATAGAACCCAGGACCACCAGCCCAGGAAAGGCGCCACCCACAGTGAGCTGGGCCCGCCCCTCAACCATCAATCAAATGTCTGGCTAAAAGGCCAATCTGGTAGGGGCATTTTCTCAATCCAGGTTTCCTCTTCCCAAATGACACAAAACTATCCAGCACATAAATACATAAAAAAAAATCCTATGAAATGGTTTAAGCCCATTAAGATCAACTAACTAATATGTCCAAGATTGCAATAAAGCTAGACTGGCCTCAGTGCCTGTGTTTTGGAACACGTGCCACACACATGTCTGTTTCCCCCTGCTAGATGTCACAGTCTCCTGAGTGCCCTGAGTATGGTCCCCAGGGGTGGAGAGGCTCACAAGCAGACGGGGTTGAGGGCTCCTCTCACTTCTCCTGTCATTTCAATCTGGAATGTGGCCGGGGCCATGGAGAGTGAAACTCTGACACACCACTTCTTTGTTGGCCTGGAGGCTTGGAGACTCACAACCACACACGGAGAGACACTTAAATGCACGAGGAACAACCTGGTCCCGGGAGTGTCTGCTCTCCTCCCAGGCGCATGCGCCAGGTCTCCTCCTGTCCCCACAGGTCCCTGCCCTCCTCCCCTCACTTCTGGGAGCTGATTTGGGTCCTGTCCTTGCCTCTTTGCTGCAGGCACCAGGAGCAGCTCAAAATCATGTTCGTTGGAGGCCCCAACATCAGGAAGGATTATCACATCGAGGAGGGCGAGGAGGTAGGCCGCCGATGCTCACCCTTGCCGTCCTGCTGCCGCTTTACGGGGGAGCAGACACTTCCACCCCAGGGTTAGGGGGCGTGGCCCAGAGAGTAGCAAACCTGACTGCTGCAGGAAAGGAAGACCTGCAGGTCTGCCTTTGACTGCCCTGTGCCCAGGGATCTCTACTGGGGAGGCCCTGTGGAGCAATCTCCACTTTCATGGACCTGTGCGGTGGTCAATACCGATGGTCTTTCTCTTTCAACCTGAATATATATGATTGGTCTCCCATATGAGACACGAACTCTGAGAGATCCCAGAAACCACGCTGTTGCTGGAGTTTTCTTGTTCCGCCAGGTCCCCGCCGCCCTTGTCAGCCCCAAATAAGCACACAGAGACCTACACCAATTATTAAGCTGTTGGCCGATGGCTAGGGCTTCTTACTGGCTGGCTCTCTCTTAGTTATTAACCCATGTCTATTACTCTGTGCATTTCCATGTGGTCGTGGTTTTCCGGAGGACGCCTGGACCTGCCACTCCTTTGACAGTCACATGGCGCCCTCTTGAGGCGCCTCCCTCCCCGCCTTCTCCTCGTCTCCTAGCCCCTCCTATCCTCCTAGCCAAACAGTGTTTTATTCATCAACCAATAAGAGAAGCATGTATATGGAAGGTCGTCCCCCATCACCGGGCTCTCCTTCCGGACCACTAAGGAGCAGAGTGTCTAAGGACACGAGGAGGTGGAGGTGTTGCCTGCAAAGGCATCCAGGGAGCCCGGGGGATGCTAAGGGAGCAGGAGCAAGGTGGACCCTTACTACCAGAGCGGCAGGGCCTGATTCACAGTCTGGAGACTGAATTCTGTGCTTCTCCACCAACTCACTGAAGCTACACTAAAAAAAAAAAAATTAAGTTTGATGTGCATACCCGTAATGCTAACGCTCCCGAGGGGAGGCAGAGAGGATCAAGGGTTCAAGGACAACCTGGGATGCAAATTGAAAACTGTGTGAAAGGGCTGGAGAGATGGCTCAGTGGTTAAGAGCATGGACTGCTCTTCCAGAGGACCTAGGTTCAATTCCCAGCACCCACATGGCAGATAACAACTGTCTATAACTCTTGTTCCAGGCGATCTGATTACTGCATACAGGCATATATTTCCAGGCGAAATACCTATGTATATAAAACAGTTTTTAAAAACATGTTAGAAGAGAAGAAGAGGAGGAGGAAGAAAGAGGAGGGAAAGGAGGAGGAGGAGACAACATCTGCTACCCCTCCTGGGACACAGACAGATCCGCCACCATAGATCAGGACATAGCGGGAAAGGACCACTGTTAAGTGCCGCTTATTTTCTAGGAGACCTGATTCTGGGGTTTGAGACTCCACCCCATCACTGACATCCCCCACACCTAGGACTGCTCACCCTGAACCCTTGAGAATTGCTCTGCCAGCAAATACTGGGGGCCCAGTGTGTGTCCTGGGTACCAGGGCAAGAGGCGGAGGGCAACAGGCCTGCAGCAGCTACCCGAGCTGAGCAGAGACAGGTCCACACACCTTGGCCCTCTCCTGCCCATTGAACACGTCTCTGATTTTTTTCCTGTGAATTAAAAAAAGAAAAAGATATAGAATCTAAAGCTACAGCAGGGAGGCGGGCCATGGCTGAGTGCCCATGGTGATTGAGGCCGGCTAACCGTTCCGGCTTGCCTGGGTCAGCCTGATCTCCACGCAACGGTTAGGCTTGCTGTCAGTGTCCACCCCAATGGCTGTCCCCATCTATCTCCCTCCTTCTTTGCCCACGCTCATCTCTGGGGCTTTCCACGCTGCTCAGGTGGGTGGGTGTCTGTGTCAGCTGGCTTTTATGTCAAATGGACACAAGTTGGAGTCATTGGAGAGGAGGGAGCCTCCATGTAAAAAGTATTTTCAGAAGATCCAGCAAGCCAGCTGGCATTTCTTAACTAGTGGGAGGGCATAACCCACGGTGGGTGGGGCCATCCCTGGGCTGCTGGTCCTGGGTTCTATAAGAAAGCAGGTTGAGCAAGCCGTGGGGAGCAAGCCAGTGAGCAGCACCACTCCAGGGCCTCTGCATCGGCTCCTGCCTCTAGGATGTTTGAGTTCCTTTCTGCTACCTTCAGTGATGAACTGTGATGTGGAAGTGTGTTTCATCACAGCAGTGATAACCCTAAGTAAAACAGGGCCCACAAGTCCCGGGGCCAGTCCATGTCTTGATTCATCTGGCGGCTGGGAGATGAGAAAGGCTGGCTTCAATGCAGGGGGACATTTAGTGGCTCAAAAAGTCTGGCTGGAGGTAGGCTTGTGATATTTGGACCTACTGTTTGGTCGGAGGGCAGAGTTTGGCAGCTCCCCAGTCCCTGGGCAGCCTCCGAGCAATGCAGAGGTTCAGCGCCCTCTCTGTCCTCGCCTGTCCTCACCCAGAGCCTGAGCAGTCACTCTGAGTGAGGTGTAAAGAACATCCAGTCCTGGCTGTGCTGGATTTCCCATCCTGGCTGAGCTCTGGCCTCTGTGACAGTCCTTAGGTGGCTCGGACCCTCCCCCCACTTACCCGCTTCACAATTTTTCTGGTGGTTGCCAAGAATGAGGACATCTGGCTGGGAAGGAGACAGGGTTCCTCTGCCCTCAGGAAAAGGCAATGTGTACAGAGTAGGTATGTATCATCCTGACCTGTTCCTGGTTCTCCTGCCTGTGCAGTCCTTTCCAGGTCACAGACTCAGACTGGCTCAGTTTAATATCTGTGTGAGCTGGTACACTTAATCTTCCTGCTGGCCCCAGGCCTCAAGCATCATTTCCTTTGCAAGGAAAAGCGTAATTCCTTTTGGATTGCCCAGGGCTGTTGGTGATTTTCTGCTGTCAGGGGTATGTCCTCTGTTGCAGGCTTGGTCCACCCCTCATCACAGGGAAGGCCTCTGGGCAGAGGGCAAGACAGGGAAATTCTACCTCTGCCTTCTGGTTTTGATCGATAGCTGTTAATGCCTTGCAGTCGGCCTGCAAACAGTTTGAATCTGGTCCCCTTTCTCCAAGTTTCCCTGACACTAGCAGATTCTGGGGATCCTGGCCCCTCCCATAACCCTGATGTACCTCTTCTTCTCCTCTATCAGCTATCATGAAAGAACCCAAGATTATACTGAAGATAAATATCTCTCTGTCTCTTCCCTCCCAATACACACACACGTGCACACACACACACACAAGCTTAATTGCTTCCTATGAGACAACCTAGTAGGTTTTTCTGATTAGTATTCAATAACATAGTGTGTTGTGTGTGTGTGTGTGTGTGTGTGTGTGTGTTGTGGGGAATTAAACTCAGAGCCTCATACATACTGCATAATAAACATTCTGCCATGGACCTGCATCTTCAATCATATGGTTTGTTTTTAATAAAGAAAGCAAATACCGTTCACTGTAGAAAACTTAAGATGTGCAGAAAGAAAGCTTCGCCTCACTCACAACCACAAACACTGTCACTTACGTTACATATGGCTACTGTGTCATTAGTGTAATTAATTACTGTATAATGACAAAGTCCCACTCCATAGCCCGGACTGGCCTCAAAGTCAAGGCCTTCCTTCTGCTAATTAGAGACACAAGTCACCACGTCCAGCTCATAAGCTATCGATTGGGACTTTAGGATAGAATAGAAAACTTGGTAGGAGTCCCCCAGAGAAAACCCAGCCACCGACTCCATCCACCTAGGCTGCCATCTTCCACAGCCCGGTGCCAGAGCTTCTCAATGGCTGGAGGGATACACACGGGTCCCAGAGCCACACACAGGCTACAGCCCCAGCCTCAACTCCAGGACTCACCAGCTTAGACCGGATGCTTTGACCCTTGGCTTTATTTTCTCCAGAATGGGGCTAACATTGATATTGGGGTTGTAAGATTTCTTTTGGGGGGGGGTTGTAAGATTTCTAACCCGCATGGGAAGGACTCCACTGCTGAGCCACTCAGTTCTCCAGTGAGCTTCTTTTTTTTATTTAATCTAATTTTTTCTGTCTCTTTTTTATTTAAATTACAAACGAGCTTGCTTCACATGTCAATCCCAGCTCCCTCTCCCTCCCCTCCTCCCCCGGCCCCCATTAGCCCTCCCAACCCCCCACACCACCCTTCCTCCACTCCCCAGGGAGGGTGAGGCCCTCCATGGAGGATCTCCAAAGTCTGTCATATCATCCAGGGACCCTAGGCCCCCTGCAATGTGTCCAGGCTGAAAGAGCATCCCTCCATGTGGAATGGGCTTCCAGAATCCATTCGTGTGCCAGGGATAAATACTGGTCTAATACCCAAGGCCCCATAGATTGCCGAGGCCTCCTCACTGACACCCAGATTTAGGGGGTCTGGATAAGTCCCATGCTGGCCTCTCAGCTATCAGTCTGGGGTCCATGAGCTCCCCCTTGTTCAGGTCAGCTGTCTCTGTGGGTTTCACCAGCCCAGTCTTGACCCCTTTGCTCATCACCCCCCCTCTCTCTGCAACTGTGTTCCAGGAGTTCAGTTCGCTGTTTAACTGTGTGAGCTTCTTACCCAGCCTCCTACACTCCGCCTCCCGAGGACTCTGGAGGTCACCTATGTATTCCAGATGTGATCCCGCTATGCCTCCAGCTTTCTTGTCTGTGGCCTGGACCAGGGCGTGCAGGGACCTCGGGGTGGCAGTGCGGGAGCTGTTCGTAAGCCCTGAGGTCTTCAGGAAGCTGTTCCAGTTTTCTGGCCAGAAGCCAGGTCCTGGGCAAGAGTTGGGGATCTAAAAGATGGAGCAGGGTGGTCCCAGGCTCTTTGTCTTTTCACAGGTGTTTTACCAGCTGGAGGGAGACATGGTTCTCCGAGTCCTGGAGCAAGGGAAACACCGGGATGTGGTCATTCGGCAGGGAGAGGTGAGACTAACACCAGGGGGAGGAAAGGCAGAGGGCAACAGAGCAGAAACCCACCCGGGTCGCTTTTCCTGCCGATCCTCTGGGCTTCCCCTGAGCCCAGCCATTCGGGTGTCCTGGGCAGAAGCTGGGCGGAGAGTAGGGTCCAGGGTGGACGGAGAGCTCCCTGCTGAGGTGTAGGTTACACCCAGCATGCTGGGGCCACTGAGGTCACCTCATTGCAGCCACGCTGGACTCCTGTTCTCCATCCCCTACAGATATTCCTCTTGCCTGCCAGGGTGCCCCATTCTCCACAGAGGTTTGCCAACACCATGGGGCTGGTGATTGAGAGGAGACGGCTGGAGAGCGAGCTGGATGGGCTGAGGTAATTAATTGCTCGCTCGTGCCTTGTGGGGCTTAGGTGATCAGAGGGCTAACAGTGAGGGGCATAGTTCAAAACTATAGCAGGAAGGATCCAAGATAGACTCGAGAGAGCACTTCCTGGCCACCCAAGGACTAGAGGGATTGGCAGCGGGAGGTGATGGAGACCCTGGATTTGCTGGTTGACCAGGAAGGAGAAAGTGGGTTTGGTCATGAGGCAGGGGAGTGCTCTCTGTGGTGCACTTGAAGTCTCAGCTGGAGTTGGCATTTGTGTTTTCTGTTGGAAGAAGCCAGTGGTGATGGGGGGAGGGGGCGATGCAGACAGGGAGAACGAAGGAACCTAGGAAGCCACTTGTCCTGGCGGTATAGGCAAATACCGCCTGGGTCTGCAGAAATTGTCCTAGGTCAGTGCCTCTTACCCTTGTGTCTCTACCCCAGATAACCGTAAGTGCAGACATCTGGCTAGCAGCAGCTATGTGCCAGGCAGCAGCTAGGGGTTTCTGTGTATATTTAGTTACCCTGTGTGTCCCCCCACGATGCTGGGGGCTCAGTGTTGTTTTACCATCTGCTGTTTTCCAAGCTCCGGGGACAGAGAAGAAACTAGGTCCAGGTAAAGTAACTTGCTAGACCTGGAGTTATAGAGAGATACAAAGCCAGCGTGTGTGCCGGATCAGCAAGGTAGAAGGGTAAATCAGATTCCATGCCTCTTCCCTTGAAACTCCCCACCGGTCAGTCTTTACACCAGTGGTTATGGGTCTCCACCCCTTTGGGTGGTTGAACGACCCTTTCACAGAGGTCGATTAAGACCATTGGAAAAGCCAGGCAGTTGTGGCACACGCCTTTAATCCTAGCACTTGAGAGGCAGAGGCAGGTGCATCTCTGCATTTGAGGCCAGCCTGGTCTACAGAGTGAGTTTCCTGACAGTTAGGGCTCTACAGAGAAACCCTGTCTCAAAAAAACAAAACAAAACAAAAATCACAAAAAACCCTCCGAAAGTTGTTCATAAACCCTCTTCTGACCTCCACAACCCATTTCATAGCATGCATGCATGTCCGCCCCCAATAAATAAATAATGTAAGAAAAAAATTCTGTAGACTTCTAAAACTTACGCAGTTTGCATAACTGCAGCCCCTTGTCCACTGAAGAAGTTTATAAGTATTTCTCAAACTGCTAAAAGTCCCTAAGACATATACTGCTAATGGTGCACCATAGTCTACAGCATAATGGCCCCTTGTATAGGCAGACAGTTGGTCTTACTTCTAAAAAGAGTCTCTCTAAGGTGGCTTTATGGAGGAGACTCTAGTGAGTTATTGGTGTCCTCAATAACATTTTACAGCAAGTTCAATAACGGATTTCATCTGGCTGCTTTTGACCTTTAATAAAAGCCAGGTACTCAACATTAAAATGCCACTCTGAAGGCCATTCCTAAGGGCACTGTGGCCCCATAATGAAGCTTCCTGGTAACCAGTTCCATCCCAGTGTAGAAGCTGGGGGGGGGCGCATGGTATGTCTACAGCCTGTCTCACTCCTTAGGACTGTCCCTGCTTTTCTGGTGAGAGTTGGAAACCAGATAGAACTGGACTGGTCTGGAGCTCTTCAGAGATTAGGCATTCTGGGGACAGTTACTCCCAGAACCTGCCTTGTGCTACCTGCCCATGGGACAGCACAGCTCTACCTGCCCAGGTGTTCCCTGGCTGTGGGGACATGGGTCATTGCAGGGGTGACTGAAGACTGTGTGTGTGTGTGTGTGTGTGTGTGTGTGTGTGTGTGTGTGCCTAGGGTGACTGTAAACTGTATGTGTGTGTGTCAGGGGTGACGGAAGACTGTGTATGTGTGTGCCAGGGAAAGCCAGCAAGTCCTAAGGAACAGAGGTAACCTCAGACCTCCGAAACATAAGAATCCTTCCCTCATGGTGTGTGTGTTTGTGTATGTGTGCCTGCCCACGCGTGCACGCATGCAGCATTGGCTACTGAAGTTTCTGTGTTTGATGGTCGAGAACCCAAAGAACAAGCTTCAAGCTGCCAGGGACTCGGGCTTCAGCTTCAACTTCCTTTTGCTGAAAACAAATACAGTTGGATTGAATGTCCTCCGACCTTCTGTCTTAAGCATAGCCTGCTCTGCCACAGTTAGACTGTGTAACCTACCAATGGCCCAAGCTCTACCTGCTTCACACATGCCAGGTGTCAGCGTGATCCCTGGGCTGTGCCAACAGAGGTGACAAAGCAGCAGAGCTATGCAATGCCTGGGTCCAGAAAGGGGCGCTTAACCAGAGCTCGGTCTGGACCAGGCTGCCCCTAAGCTGCCCAGGTGGGGAGTGTGTTACCTTTGGCTCTGTTTCGGCAGGTACTATGTAGGGGACACTGCCAGTGTCCTCTTCGAGAAATGGTTCTACTGCAAGGACCTTGGAACACAGTTGGCCCCCATCATCCAAGAGTAAGTCACCGGCTTGGCCCCACCCCTCACCGTCCTTCAGTTTTGTAACGCCCACTGGCCTGGACCCATCGGGCATGGCAATTAAGTCTCCCGCCTTGGGGATGGGATGAGATGCTCTTCAGAGCTGGGAGGGCAAGCATGATAGGTGATCAAGCCACTCGAGGATCTATGTCCTGGATCCCGTGCGTGGTGTGTGCCTCGCTGGCATCTTAACGGGAGTGCTGCCATTCCTGTCTGTTTGTCCCTGCAGGTTCTTCCGCTCTGAGCAGTACCGGACAGGAAAGCCTGACCCTGGTGAGGCCACCGGCAGCCACATTTTCCTTCTCTTCCCTCTCTCCCTCCCTGTAGTGGATTGGGTCTTGACCCAGGTACCCCAGGGTCCTCTGCCCAGCACCCACACCAAGTAGCACCCCGGTGTGGCTGTTCAGACATTAGGCAGCACCCAAGACCCATATCTGCTATTGTGTTCTGGGCTTCTGGGACCTGGCTATTCTGGGGCTGGGTGGGCCGAGCCTGGAGGTCACTGCTCATCACTGTGTCGCTGGCACAGACCAGCTGCTCAAGGAGCCTCCGTTCCCGTTGAGTACGCGGTCCATCATGGAGCCCATGTCACTAAAGACATGGCTGGATGGCCACTCCAGGGAGCTGCAGGCAGGCACATCCCTCAGCCTGTTTGGGGACACCTATGAGACCCAGGTAACACTCAACATCCATCCATCTGGCACCTGGGAAGAGGGAAGTGTGTGTGTGTGTGTGTGTGTGTGTGTGTGTGTGTGTGTTTGTGGTTTGTGTGCATGAGAGAAAGAGAGAGAGAGAGAGACTTCAAAGTCATGAGAATAGCTTTTCTGCTCTCTGTCTCAGAGTAACAGTGTTTCTGTGGATGGAATCCTCTGGTAACTTCATGGTCCCACAGACACTTGTCTCTCAGAGTGGGAAGTTCTTCACCCATTGTGGCCTTCCTGGGTGCCTGCCACGTACCTACACCCCTAGGCTTTTGGCACATGGGAGCCTAGAAGCTGAAGGGAAAGAGTTACTTAGAAGCTGAAGGGAAAGAGTTACTTAGAAGCTGAAGGGAAAGAGTTGCTTGGCAGAGGCCTGGCAGCAATGTGTGGCGACCCTACCAAGCTGGCCTTCCATCTAATATTGCTCCTGCCTTAGGCTTTGGTAAGAACAAGGCAATAGCTGTGGACAACTTAACCCACAGCCGCCAGTCATGTGACAGCTTATTCCCTAGAGCACCATGGGAAGTCTTAGGAGGATAAGGAAAAAAGTCAAGGAAGGCTCCTGGAGGAGGTGAAGTGCGTATCGAATCTTTTTATTAAAAAAATTGATTTATTCATTTCACATTTATGCTTATGTGTGCTGGTATGCATGTATGTGTGCTGGCCTGTGGAGGCCGGAAGAGGGTGTTGGACCCTCTGGAATTGGAGTTACAGATGTTTATGAATGACCCTGAGGGCCCTTTGTGGGAACAAGTGCTCTTAACATCAAGCTGTCTCTCCAGCCCCCGAGCAGAACTTTAAAGCTAGTGTAAAGGCTTGCAGAAGGAAGGGAGGGAGGCAGACAGAGCTTCTAGGGAAGGCAGATTCACGAAGCACAAATTCACGAAGAACAGAAACAGCCTCGCCCTGCAAGCCGTTGAGGCTGGCCAGAGCCAGCTGGAGAAGCTAGGATGGAATCTCGACTACTAATGTTCCTGGAACTCTGGTGAGTTGGACTAAGAGGGAGGGGACAGGTCCTAGAGACAGTGGGGCTTTACCCAGGCAGTGAGGCCTTTCAAAGTAGCCCTCCTTCCTCCGTAAGGCTGGGTCAGAGGACGAGGTCTAACAGGGAGCCCTGCAAGGATCCTGGCAGTCCCGTGTGTGGTAACTTGCCAATGGCACAGCCTGTATGGTTAGAGATAGTCACTCTGGGTCGGGAAGATGGCTCACAGCATAAAGGTGCAAGCCTGGAAACCTAGGGCTTGGTCACTGGAACCCACATAAAAGTGGGAAGAAAGAGCTGATTCTATAGGCATCCTCTGATCATCAATGCACGTGTGTCCACACACACACATCACGTGTTCACACATGGTGGTAGTGGTGGTGGTGATGACGGTGATGGTGATGATGATGGTGGTGATGGTGATGGTGATAATGATGGTGATGGTGGTGATAGTGAGGATGATGATGGTGGTGATGGTGATGACGGTGATGGTGATGATGATGGTGGTGATGGTGATGATGGTGATGGTGATGATGATGGTGGTGATGGTGGTGGTGATGGTGATGGTGAAGATGATGATGGTTATGGTGATAATGATGGTGGTGGTGGTAATGTGATGTAATGATGAAGAGAAGAAGGAATAGGAGGAGGAGGAAGAAAGGGGAAAGTAGGAGAGAAAGAAGAGTAAGAGGAGAAAAAGAAAGAGAAAAATCTCACTCCAGGACAGGAGGCTTAGACTACTTTTTCAGTACCAGGAACACCCAAAGCTTATGTAAGGCTGTGATAATGGACCCTAACCCTGAAGCCCCTCCCACCCATCACAGCTATAGCAATGGCTCCCTTCTACCCCCAGTCTACCTGCTCTAGCTTTCCATAGCAAATGTCTATTGGCCCCTATTGCAGCTGGCAGGAGCAGCGGCCCTCAGTGGTCACAAGGCCGGTAGGCCTCAGCCTCTCTCTTTCCCAAGTCAGACTACGAACATCTCACAGGAACGGGGGAGGAGCTGGGGTGGGTGTGTCTACAGGTGAGCTGGTGACACGCATTAGAGGAACCACAGAGGACCACGGGTAACTGAGAATGACCGGCAGGCTGCCCGCAGAGGCCCTCCTTTCTGACCCCTGACAAGGAAAGCTTATCCTATGTAGGGCTGTAGCACTGCCCAGTCTTGCCCCTTGGAGGTCGCAGTGGTTGATGAGAGCCAGGGTCGGGACCATCTCCCAAATGGGGCAGGAGCCCCTCATCTCAAGATACCCCCAAACTCTGCTTTGTCTCCTACAGGTCATTGCCCACGGACAAGGTAGCAGCAAAGGCCCAAGGCAGGATGTGGACGTGTGGCTGTGGCAGCTGGCAAGTGGGATGGACAAGGGCAGGGTGGCGTAACTTCCCGTCCATGGCGACTGGGCTGTTTCTAGGCCCCAGGTTCCCACAGAGCCTCTTTGCTAGGCAGACTCGGGGACGGTGTCATCCCCCCTTCTTCCCCCAACCCTCTTTTGTTGCTCTGTTTTGCTTTTGTGGTACTGGGGATGGAACCTTCCTAACCCCCGACCCCCACACACGCTTTTCTTATTTTGAGACAGGGTTTCACCAAGTGACTCAGGCTGGCCTTGAACACAGTCTCATCAGCCTCCATTTGGTTCTGCTTATTCTTTCACAGGAGGGCTCCTCCGTGGTGACAATGGGAGGTCAGCGCGTGGGCCTGGCCCCGGATGACAGCCTGCTGGTACCCGCCGGAACCTCGTGAGTACCCGGCAGGCCTTCTGAAAGTGTGGAGCTGACTCCCTTTCCCTGGGGTCCTCGGGCTCTGGCCTTGCCTAGCCCTTGCCTGTCTGGGTCTCCACAGGTACACGTGGGAGCGAGCGCAAGGCTCTGTGGCCTTGTCTGTGACGCAGGACCCTGCCCGGAAGAGGCCTCTGGGGTGACCCTCGTGTGTGTGCCGGCCGGGCCGCAAGCAGTCACAGGGTGCCTGAGAGCTGGGCTTGCAGCTGCCTTTCCTGATCAGCCTTTTAGCCGCGCTCATCTTCACGGACACCAGCAAGCGCCACCACCCGCCACCCCCTGCTTGGCTGTGGCTTTTCACCGTGGTCTGCCCTCCTGCCATCCTCAGCTCAGGATGCCAGACTCCTAGGGTGCCAGAGGCTCCCCTCCTTTCTAACAGCCTAGCCCCACACTGTCCAGCTAGATGCGTATCATCCCCCATGGGCCCACCAGCTTGCCACTAAGAAATCTCTCAATAAAGGCACCCCGATGAAGGGGCGCTGTGGGTTGTAGGTGGCAGACTCTCTGTTCCCCTGCGCTGTGATGCATCTGGGGTTTAGGGACACCGGTGACCACAGGGCGTTAGAGGGACCGTCACTGTGTGTCACCACTGTTTGTGGATGGGCATTTCTTACTGCGTATGTGACCCCGACCCACACATGTGCTGGGTCCGTCCTGCCGTGGCCCAGCCGAGTGCTTCCTGGTCTCTTTCTCTCTTCCCATTCACTCATTCATTTGCTAACATAACTTTAAAAATAGCAACCCCCCCCCACTCTACTGCATTTCTTTCTCAACCACAGAAGTCATTCATGCTAACTGTGGGAAGCAGAAATCTTTAAAACATAATCCCCCGCCCCCAGAGTGAATTGCTGGTCACAGCTTCTCCAGGTGGAGGAATGGGAAGCAGGACATCCATAAAGAGGCTTGCACAGCCTTCCTGGGGCACCCTGGGCTCAGTGAGGGACTTCAGTGAGGCTGGTGGTACTGAGCCTGCATCTGCACAGAACAGCCCTGGGCTTAGAGACAGAGATGCCTCTAGGAAAGGGAACTAGCATTTTGTCTCCTACCCCAGCCTGGTGGCTCCCTGCCCCGGCACACTCCGCTGACTTCGCTTAGAGGTGTTCTGGCCCTGAGGGATGGGACACCAGCCCCTGCCGTCCTACCCCAAACTATTGCTGTAAGCAAAGAAGGATCACATAGGTGCTCCCAAATGTCTACTCTCTGGGGTGGCCTGGTCCATGCTTGGCTGCACCAACGTGCTTCTGTGGGCTGGGAAGAGAAGATGGCGCTAGAAGCTTCAGGGTCAGAACACAGAAGGGGAGGCTCCATCTGTCAAGAAAGGACAGCCAGGCTTCCTCATGTTCTCCTCATAACTCTCCATGAAGGTGACAGCACCTGATTTTACAGAGGACAATTTTATTAGAGTTTAAAAGAAAACCCCAAAGCAGGCAAGCTGTAAATCTCGGCAGCTGCCATTTGAGCTGGGCCAGACATGCAGCCAAATGGCAAAAGGGAGGGGAAGGAAAGCCTCACAGAGAGAGGAAGCCCAGATGATGAGGAAGGTATGCTTGAACCCATGAAGGAAGAAGGAAGGAGAGCTGTGCTCCCCTCCAGAAAAGTCTAACAGAGCATCTGCCTGCAACTCCAGAAGCCCGAGGGGGAGTTCTGAAAAGGAAACTGCTCATCTCATTAAAGGGATAATTGTTTCTCCTGTCCCCTCAGCATGGCTTAGAGTCTTCCTACCTGGTCAGGCGTTAGTGGCACGCACCTTTAATCCCAGAACTCGGGAGGCAGAGGCAGGTGGATCTCTGTGAGTTTGAGGCCAGCCTGGTCTATAGATCGAGTGCCAGGATAAGCTCCAAAGTTACACAGAGAGAAAAAAATTCTTCCTATCTTCCTAGAAATGGTCCCTTAGCCAAGGGATTGACCTGGTAGGCTGACTGCTCCATCTCTAAGGCTTTCCCATCAAGGAGGAGAAGGCCAACTCCAGGTCATCCCACCTCAGCCTGAGATAGAACATTTCCAAGTAAGCTGCCTCTCCCTTAATGGACCAGCTGGCACAGTGCCGGCCACCCAGAGTGCCTGTCTGTCATCTAGGTGTCTACCCAGGTTTGTGTCCAATGGGATCAGAGCAGCCCTGGTGTTGGAGGGAGACCACATTGCTGTGGAATGATCCCTTGGTACACTGAATAGAATAAGGTTGGGGGGAACCAAACTGAGAATGTCGGGAAGGAGAAGGGCAGAGTCAGGAGTCACCAGCCAGTCTCAAAACAGCCAGTCGGACACATGAAGTGAGATAGAGGTAAAAGCCATGAGCCTTGGGGCAGTCCATAGATTAGCAGAAATGGGTTAAGTTTGTGAGAGCTAGTTAGTACCAAGCCTGAGCTATTGGCCGAGCATTTATAATTAATGTCAGGCTCCACGTTGGTCATTTGGGAGCAGGCAATATGGACAGGGAAATTCCATCTACACCACATGGCATTGCCTCCATCCCCCCCCCCAACTTTCTGGAAACCTTTCTGCTAACACCTCTCTCTGGGCCTCCTACCCCATCTCTAAAAATAGCTGGCTGTTTCAGCCCAACCTAATGTAAGAGAAATGTCGAGATACCCCCGTGTGTGCACCGCTGTTCTTGCCGGCCTAGAACAGGCACAGGCACAGCTGCCTTTGAGAAGTCCCTGGGGACGGTGCGGATCCAGCTCCCAGCCAGCCCTAGAGCCTCCCTCGGTTCTGACCATACCCTCAGGCTGCCCCTAAGCTTGCCAGACCCATTCCCCTGGAGTGTGCCAAGCCTGATGGTGCCTGCCCCAACTTCCTCAGGCCTGCCTTCTCTAAAGGGCCCTTGCACCCCTGAGGTGGACTGCTGCCACGATCTCCCGGGAAAGTAGGGCACCCTTGGTCTGGCCCAGGGTACCTTTCTCTGGACATGCTTCTCCGTTTGTGGAATGGAAACCACGAGCCTGGCCCTTGCCGGCTGTAGGATGGAAGATGGAGACAGGCCAACAGTAGCGCTCCAAAGGGGAGAAGAAGAGTGGAGAACCGTCTGCCTCTTACAGCTTGGAGAGCAGCCGTACAGGGGTGCACGGCGAACTGGAGACGTCGAGGATCTAGCTCTCGCTATGCGAATGTGAGCCTGCGCTTTGTAGCCTCTTTCTTTCTCCCAGTATAACCTGCTCGCATCCGGGGCGCAAGACAGCAGCATCCATTGCTTTCCTCCCATGATCCCCGTATAGCAGGGGTGAGCGGGACAGGAAAGTGAAGGGCCAGTAGTCATTAACGTTTACCCAGCATCTACTGGGCCTCCCACGGGGTGGAGGGGCACACATAGCTAGAGGCAACGCACGCGTGTAGGGTAGAGCGCTCTCCTCTGACCTTAAGCTGTCTGTGACTCCTGGCAAAAGCCTGAACACAGACCCTGGCAAAGAGCACAAGCGTCAGAGCTCACGGGCACTGCCCAGCTGAGCAGGGAAAGCGGCTGGTGACGAGTGGGCCATGATTCATGACAGCGCCCATGGGAGAGCAGCTTTGGAGGAGAGGAGAGAGGGTTGAGGCCCGGGGCATGGTGTGGAAGCCTCCAGGGAGCCAACAGTACTCTCGGAGCTGGAATGGGAAGGCAGAGGTAATGGTAATGGATGGCATTCTTAGTAAGAGGGCAAAGTGGACCAAGACGCATCCTTTTAAAGTCCCTGCAGGTAGGGGGCACACACAAAATGAAAGACCCAGAAAAAATGCTCAGAAGAAAGCTTTAAATAGAAGATGCGGGCCGTAGCAAGGAAAAGAGAACATTAGGGAAGGCAATCTCTTCACCCAAGCAGAGAAATTTCCATTAGGAAAGATGGAATAAAACTGCCATTTAGGAAGGAAAAGTGCCTCGTGCAAGAACAGAGCATCTTCAAAAGTGCTCTCTAACTGCCAGCTGCAGGGAAGCCCGTCTGCGAAGCCAAGTCCATGCTGTGTCCAGCATCTGGAATGAGCGCCCAAGTTAACAATGTACTTACTATAGCACCGTTCTATACTTCTAAATTATAGACCAGTACTATATTAAAAAACAAAAAGCTTTTCAAGATACAGCAGGTCATAAGCTAGGTGTGGTGGCACATGCCTGAAATCCCAGCACCCAAGAAGACTAGGGGTTCAAGGCCGACCTGTGGGGAAGCGGCAGCCAGGAATGATATCTAACTGTGTCTCTGAGTAGAGGTCAAGGCAAAGAGGAGGGGGATGACCGCAGCTTTGAGTGCTCGAGACACTCGGGCGGAATGACTCCTAAGACTTTTGGCTCTTTAGACAGTCATTAGTGACTTTACTGACAGCGGGTTCTGTGAGTGTCTGCCGGCCCAGAGCAGAATGGAAACCGTAAAACAGTGTAATGGGTTGAGGCACTGGTGAGATTTGAAGTAATGGAGACACACGGCTCCTCTTCCGGTTGCTTTGCCAGTAAAGGGAGACAGAGTGCCATAAGCAGTGGACTGAGGTTTTAGTGGTTCGAGGGTTCTGCCGTCTTGTGGACTGAACAGGGGAACTTAAATATAGTTTCAGGAGGGAGAGGAGGGAGAGGAGAGAACAGTGGTAGGGATGAGCTAATAGTGATGAACACTGTGTACCAGGCTCTGGTCTAAGCATCACACATGTGTCAATTTCCTTAGCCCTGAGGTAGATACTATTATCCCGTCTTACAGATGCGACTTCAGGGATGGGTTGGGTGACTTTCCCTAGGTCCCATAACTAGTAAGTGGTAGTCTGGTTTGAGTATATGTACTCTAAAGTCCTAAACGGAGTAGTGGGTGTGTGAATTCAGCCTGTGTGTAGCAGGAAGGTGTGTCCCCCTTCTCAGCTAGGGAATGACACTTGGAGAGAGAGAGCTGACCTCTACGGAAAGACTCTTAGAAGACTTAGCTCTGTAGGGTGAGGCGCTGGTTCTTGGGGTATGAGAACCAGCTCCCCAAGGAGAACCTACAGAATGGCCTCCGAGCATGGGGGTCAAGGAGACCCCGAGAACCAAGCACCCACAGCACTGTTCCTGTGCCTTTATGTTCTGTTAGCTGAGAAATCTTGGTTCTGGGATATGAGGACATTTCTGGATATTTCCAGGAGCTACAACCTAACATTCCATTGAACTGGAAGCTAACAGCCAGCATGATGGCTCAGTGGGCTAATGTCACTTGCCTGATAATCTGAGTTCAATCCTAACACCCATGTTGCAGAAGGAGAGAACTGATTCCTACAAGTTGTCTACACACACACACACACACAGACACACACACACAATGGCACACGTGCACCAACATACACACACTAAATAATTAAACTTCGGTTTTAAAAGATGAATTGAAGGTAGGTCTTTCTGGACACTTTGGGCTCCTGATGTCTTTGAGTCCAGTGACTGAGATCGGAGCCACAATACTGGGAAGAGCTATTGATCTGGACTCTGGGGAGAAACTGGACTGCTTTTCCACACTGGAAATAAGGGGAGGTATATCTGGAGTACAAGAGTGCATGTACTCTTAGTGTTGCCATGCCTGTGATTAAGGTCAATGGGAAACAGCAACAACCCAAGCAGGAGGCTAAGTGGCTCAGATCCTTTAGGGATGAAGAAATAAACCACATCACCTGCTGAGGTACTTCTGAGAAGGGGGAGATGATGCAGGACGGGTCCTAGAGGAAGACAAGCCATAAACACCAAGTAAGGCCGTGTGACCAGTTACAGAAACGGTCATTGCAATGGCCATTGGGTGTTCCTGTCCTATCTTGTTAAAAAATATGCTTGTTTGAAACCTGCATGCTACAGTACCGATCTTCCAGGCAAGCTGTGCCTGCTGGTGTAATAGAGGCAAGGCTGTTATGGGGTAACCAATTGCTCTATGATTTAACATGAGGCCTCCTGCCTGCTATAAACCTGATCAGAAGCCTGTGGCTGGGGGCGGGACGGGGTGCATAAGTTCTAGAGAGGAAATCTACTAACAGCTGTCTTGCTAAATTGTTGTGTTGGCATATTTATTGTTCTCTCCATAGATTCGTGCTGCTGGCATCAACCTTGATCAGAGAAGCTTCCTTCTGCGGTGGCAGAGTGTGGTGGAATAAACATTTAAGATGTGTTACATTCGTTTGTGCTGTGGAACGTCTGTTTAATGATGCAAAGACGTGTTTGTAAGAATTCAGGCATTATGCTGGCCCACCCGTCACCTGGCAGAATGCACTCAGGCAGGGCCCTGGTCAGCCCAGGCTTCCATGGTTGTGTAGTCTGCATGCAGGTGCAAAGGACCCTTTAAAAGACAGACTCCGCCCACTTACGCTAACTTTCCCTGGCTCCCCCCCCCCCCGCTGTTCCCCTGGGGCTGACAGGACTTTTCCTGTCTCCTCTTCTGCCCTCTCTCTGTCTCTTTACCTCTTTTTTCTTCTCCCTTTCCCTTTCTAATAAAACGTCTCACTTAAGCTCTGTCTGCCTGGTGTGTTTGTTCCTTGCCTGCCATGGAGGTTCCCCTCACGATTTATCATGACACTGTTACATTTGTTTGATTACATAAAATTAACCCGGGGTCAGGAGACTGAGTCATCAACTCGCTAACACTAAGTGGAGAGGGATGGACGCCCGGAGGCAAAGGGTAGCTGGGATCATTTAAGAAAAGCTGGTTAGAATCAGACCAAGCTAAGGCGAGGGGGACTTGTGAGAAAGAATTAGCCTCCATGTGTGATAACTTGGGAGCTGGGTGATGCCCCCCAAAAAAGAGCCGAAAGAGTTAAGGAGTAAAAATAAACAGCAGCAGGGGTTAATGCAGAGATGCATTAACTGGTCAAAGAGCCGAGGAAAAGCAGCGGTGGGTACTTTGTCCTAAATAGGATGTAACAATCTCCCCCAACCCGGGGCTCTTGAATATGTAAGGACTGGAGGATGGGGAGCAGTGTTGTGATGCAACGTGGTCATTGTACCCAGGAACTTGTAGTAACTGCTGTTACTTGCACAAGATCAATTCAGTCAACACTGCAGCGCGGATAGGCAGGGTCTCACGAGGAGCCATTTGAACAGCTATTTGCAGCTCATAGTTGCAGCTTTAATTTCATTTTATGGGTATAGGCGTCTTGCCTATCTGTTCACCCAGTGTATGCGTTGCCCACAGAGGCCAGCAGAGGGTGCCAGATCCCCGGAAACAGAGTTATAGATGGTTTTTAAAGGCCATGTGTGTGCTGGGAATCAAACCTGGGTCCTTCCAGAGAGCGGTCAGTACTCTTAACACCCCGAGCCATCTCTCTAGGTCCCAGAAGGTCATTTTTCTTTGGGAGCATGGCTGCTGGCAGGTTACCTTTGCTCCAGGGGAAGGTCGCATACCTGTGTACATACAGGCCCCACAGATTGGGTTCAGTGGGTTGTGAGGGAGGGAAGAAAAGGACGTGAAATTGGGGACAATGTCCAGAGCGAGCTGAATGTGACAAGATCACATTGTATACCTGCATGGATGCTCAAAGAATAAATAAAACACTATATAAAAAAGAATGCTTGTCCATTAGGCAGATAATTGCTGGATGTGACAAGATCACATTGTATACCTGCATGGATGCTCAAAGAATAAATAAAACACTATATAAAAAATACTTGTCCATTAAGCAGATAATTGCTTTCTTTCCTTTCTTTATGCAGCGTGATACTGAGATGATATTCAAAGTGCTGTAACTATTTATCATTGTACCTAAGTTACGGGACACTAAAAAGCTAAGCATTCCTCAAGGGACTTCGGCACTTACTCTGGCGGAGAGGGATTGTGGGTGAGGTGGTTGTATCATTTTAGGTGGAATTATGACTTGGTTATTGTTTTCATTTGGAAAGAAAGAATGGATGTGATTGCCTAGGTGACAAGGGAGCCAATCTCGCAAATCCCCTTTTCCTGTCTATTGCTTCCGGGCCCAAGAGAAGGCTCATCAGGAAGGGTGCATGCAGTCAGCCTGCGCCCGAGTTCAATCCTCAGGACCTCTGTGGTAGAAGCAGAGAACAACAGGGAGTCATCCCCTGACCTCCACATATGTTCCATGGCACACGTAAGCTCACATACATACATACTTGAAAATAAATAATACACATTGTAAAAATAAACAATATTTGGCAACCCCAGCAAACCCACTGTCTTCTTTGGTTTTGCGTTTTAATCACCAGTCACGTAGCTCAGCAAACCAGTGTCGTTCAGACAGGTTGGAAGGGTCTCCTGCGAGCCTCCATCGGCTTTTTCCTACAGTTGCCCCAGCAGACCACCCGAGGCAGTGTGCTCAAACAGTCACCTGACAGGGCAGCCCTGGGCCAAAGCACAGCAATTTCTTCTGCACCTCCCCAAACACCCCAGCCGGTGTCCCCAGGACACAGTGCTAGCCACAGCACTGCAGGAGTGACTCGTGGGTGACTAATTCCAGAGAGCTCTACCTGCTGCTCCCCCCTCTAAGTCTAAGTGGCACAAAGTCAAAGACACTTTTTGTGGGGTGCAGCTTCCTGAAACTACCATGTTCTCAGGATGTGGCTGGTCAGACAGTAACAGCACATTCAACCTGGGGGAAAGGTTGCTGAGAGTTTGGGGGTGGCCTGTTACCTCTCCTGGACCCTGGGAGCAGGCAGAGACACCCAGTCCCTTAGATGAGGTCCTCCAGACACCTAAGTCTGGAGAGAGCATGAAAAGAGTCTCCCAGCTGAGTCACTAGCCCAGGAAAGGACATCATGACACTAGGCAGGATTTCCAGAAATTTATTGGAAACACAATACAAACTGACGGATAGATGGGCTCTCCTACAAACAGACAGGCCACACTGGCACGCACGTGTGGGAGAGCTTCCCCAAGCACTGAGGGTGGCTCTGGTTAGTGCTCACGGCAGGGGGTAGAGGGGGACAACCAGAGAGTTGGAGGAGAGGAACAGGCAGGCAGGTCACACAGAAATCAGAACATGGCTTTCTGGAAGGGGGTACAAGGCATGGTGATTTTGTGGGCAAACACCTCCAAAGGAAAGCAGGGGTGACTGTGAAGAAAGGCCTCCTCCTCCCCCCAATAGAGCTCTTTCCTCCTCAGGAGGGTGAAAAACAACCTAAAAACCTAAGGAGGTCACTCCTCTGCCTCCTTCCCCAAGGTCTTAAGCACTGCCGAGGAATTGCCAGTCTCTGAAGACACAGCACATGGCAGCGTCCCTGCCACAGGCCTGCTCGTCATCAGCCGGTCCCTGCTGCAGGCTGGGGGCTGAGCCCACAGGCTCCCAGGGTAGGATGGCCTCTGGCTGGAGCCAGCTAGTGTGGGGCACCCACAGAAGTCCACAGGCTGGAAAGAGGGGGCCAAGTTCCTTCTCCCTTCTCTGACCCCTTACAGCTTTGGCTCCTTCCCAGTGGCCCTGGCCTATAGTTACACAGCCTCTTCACTGGACTTCCCCTCCCTACTCTTCATGCTTCTCGGTATGAACCCTAAAAACGAGTTGTGCTTTCCTGGCTGGGCCCTGAATGACAGACACTGGGCCACAGACAGGGCAGTACCATGGGAGCTGCCAGCAACTTCCTTCGGTCCCCCTCTTTTGCACTCCCTTAGTCTATTAGAGTGGTGACAACATTTGAGCACGGAAGGGATGTCTTCCCAGGGGGCCCAGCACCACTGTATGCCTGTGAAGACAGCCTCAGTTCGTCCGACTCATCTGCTCACCGAGAAACAGGGACATGCCACACACACACACACACACACACACACACACACACACACACACACACACGCAACACTGCGGGCTCAGAAAGGCAAAGACAAAAGACCGGGTCCCTAGGAATCTGTCTTATTTACCCTGGAACACTCCTTCAGCCTGTTGGGTCTTCCCAGCTATCAGGGGGAGCAAAAACGCTTAGTTATGTTGGGAAGATGAGGCGGCAAGAGCCAGCTCTCACAAGCAAGGTGATAAGGAACATTCTGGATCCACGGGGCTCAGAATGAGCTGTGCTCTTCCCCAAGCTAACTGTGACCTAGGCTAGGACAGGCCTCCTGTGCCTCACCTCCTCCAGATCTCTTGGACTTGGTAGAGAGCACGAAGCCCCAGAAGTCGGGGTGACTGACCTGTCAGCACAGTGAGCTGTCATTCTCGATGCGGCAGAAGGGGAAAGTGAGCCAGGAGGCAGGCGTTCCTCCCTGTGTCTGTATGCCACATAAACCCAGTGTGGGGCCAGACGCGGAAAGTTGCAGAAACTCTTCTTTTTCTTTGCAGAAGAAATACCCAAATGGCCGGTTGTTCCATCTCTTGGGTCTTTGCTGATGGGAACGCTACAGGGAGATGCCAGCCGTCTGCACCTGGTTCACGGAGCGCCACTGACCCAGGCCCTACCTGCAGGGCCCCAGGCCATGGCCTAGCAGTGGTGAGAACTTGTCACAGCTGTGGAGAGGCCTATGATGAAAAGTAAGTCCTCCCCAGAGAGTCCTGGGAGAGGACAAGGCAGCTGGACTCTGGCCATTGCTCTTAACCACACACCCCTCCGCTCTGCTGCATGGCACACAGACTTCCAAATGTCACCACCACTTTTGTGACAACTTACTCTTCTTAGGGGTGGGGTCGATTCCAGCTGTGGCCACTCCGTCTTGCAACCATCCGCTTGGAGTACCTCCTATCAGCCACCCAGCTGCTCTAGGACACAGAACCCAAGGTAGTTGCAAGATCGGACTTGACTTGTCACAGTGCTGGGACTCTGTCCTCCACAGCCTGTCCCTGCTAATGGAGAGGTGGCCACGCCCTCTGCTCAGGGAGTTAACTTTGGTGACTGCAGCTAAGTGTGGAGGCTGACAGAGGAGCCATCTAGGATGTCACTGAAGGCTTGTATCCAGGGCAGTAAAGTAGGCAGAGATCTCCAGGGGCCCTAACACATATGCTCACAAAAAAAGCTGGAGGGGTTAGGCATCACAAAGCCATCTACATAGATTCATATCTACAAATAGGATTTCCATCCTTTACCCTACCCCTCAGACCCAACAGAGTCTACTCAAAATAAAATGGGGTGGCAGGGGCGGGGGGGGGGGAGATTCGTAACCCCTCCACCCCAGCTACAGGTCCTTGTCAGCTGCTTTAGCTATAAGGGAAGAGGGCAGTAAGCCAAACAGCTTGTCACAGTGATCCGCACGATTAACGCCTGCTCTCTGTCTTAATGCCTGCTCTCTGTCGAGCTCCCCAGGACGGAAGGGAAACCTGTCCTACCCCAGTCTCTCTGAGTGACAAAACAGATGCTGAGAGTCACTTGCAGGCTGGCCAAGGTCAAGAACAATCTGCTTCCCCAGACCCTGCAGCCCCATAGAGGGTGGGAGCAAACCCTGTACAGGATGCAGAAAGAGTAATTTCCCCAGCGAGGAGAGAAAGGCAGCCTACTGAGGAAAAAGCCAAGAGATACAGTAGCGAGGGCGGGGAAACCTGATGAACCGCAGAAACACTGGCACATTCCGAGGGAGGAGCCACTCAGAAAGACGCCGGGCACCTCCTGTACACAATTTCACAGCATGAAACAGTAGGCTGGACACATGCAGGGCAGTGGGGCTCCGGGCTCTCAGCAGCCTCCGCGGAGAGGTTTAGCTGCTCCTGGGAGTTGGGAACTGGGAAGCGAGGGGGCTAGTGGCTCCCTCCCTGCCTGCCTCGGTTCTCAGACAGGTCCGTTCTGGGGCAGCAAGGTCTCTGGGAAGGAAGCCAGGTGCCACCGGTACACACACACACACACACACACACACACACACACACACACACACACACACACGGAGTCACAGACACACACAGACGGCGAGCTCCGACAGTTTCTTCCCTGCCCCTTTAGGCCTCCAAGGAGTGTGCACGGAGCTCTCCCACCGAAGGGACCACCTTCTTCTTTCCAGGCGTGGCTGTGACCACCAGCGGGGACAGTAGCAGGTCTTGAAGAACAGGAGGGAATAGGGATAGCTCAGTCTGACACACAGCAGGTAAGTTCTGGAAAAGGGAAGAGACAAGAGCAAAGCTAAACGACTTCAGGTAGCGGAAGCTGACTTAGGTGGGGAGGGCCGAAGCCTCCCACCCACACGGCGACTGTCAGGGCGGCCAAAAGGAAAGTTCGCCTAGGTCAGGAAAATGTCCAAGTGGCACCAAAGCAGGAGAGTCAAGCTTTGGGTGCAGGCGCAGTGGCTGCTGGTGAGCCTACCCCACCCCAGGTCGGTGGGTCAGTGTTCACCCACAGACCTCACCAACTCCCTGCTGACGTGGAGGGAAGTAAGGACCACGCCCAGCCGGGAGGAGCGGCCCACGCTGTCTGCAGCCATCGCAATCACTGTGGTGCCAACCCTCGCGGGCCATGAATATACTCAAAGCCCAGTGTCACAGGGTCAAAACTGCCCCCGCTGGGTCAGTGCTGTGCATCTGGACTTGGGACAGAAAAGAGTAACTGAACAGCAGACGGGGCGGCCAACATTATCATTGCCGTCTTTTCTCCACACAGCAGAGTGCCGGGGATGCTGAGATGAGATTAAAAAAAAAAGGCTTGGACCTTCTCTCCCATGGTCCACCGCAGCCCAGACAGAACCAAAATGTTTGCTTTTACAGGTACGATCCATCCTGAGGGACGGAGGGTGGGGCTAAGTTAGAGTGTCACTTCATGAGCCTTTTGGGAAGGGATATATATATATATATATACACATACATACACATTACACATCCTGGTAACCAACAGGGACTCATCAAATGTGCTAAAGGCACAAACTCAGTTCAGGAATCAGTCACTAACCAGGTATTTTACTGGCCCTCTCGTGTGTCATGTGACCCTTGCCAGGCCCTTAGGAAGATAAGATAGACTAAGCATTGGCTTAAGGGCACCCGGTGAGTAGCCACCATAGAGTCAAGATTTGAACTCAGATCTTAACTCAGTTCAAGTTTTTCCCACTCCACTGAGCTTCCCACTCTCCATCCAGCCCAGTGTTCTAGTAACAGCCCAATCAGAGTATGCTTTGATGTCTGAGTTGCGAGTATGCCAATATCTCTCGGAAGTCGGCTTCTCCATTTCAGGTGGGAAGGTGTGGACTCTGTTATTCACTTGTTCCAAAAAAAAAAAAAAATAGAAGACCTACTTGAACACAGTACACAGAGGCCATGTTTCTGGCCTATCACAATGAAGTTTTGCTAAACTTACCTACTTGGGTTTCAGAGAGTCCAGGCTCATACCTGCTTACATCTGCCCTCTCGAGGCTGTCATTTCATTCTTTCCTTCCCAGACCTTCCCCAACCCCACTGCATTTCCCTGAAGCAAGAGCAATGGGCACCGTCAGGACTCCAGGTACACGCCACGGTTGCAGTAGCAGACGGCCCCAGGAAAAGGTCTAATTCCCAGGTCTCCTTCCAAAGACCAGAGGTAGCCTGAACCATTTATCTTTTTGCTCAGAGGCAAATGTGTTGTTCATCTACACTGTCTGCTTTTGTCGTCGCTAACCCTGAATTGTAAGCACTTACTTTGATTTCTGCAAAATGTTCCCTATTGGTTTGACTACTCAGAAGTACTTGAAGCCCGTAGACTCGGAGACTCTGCCCTCTGACCAACCGATGCCACAAAAGCAATCTCTTTTACAGTCTCTAGTTGCAGGCTTCTGAGTTCATGTCCTCCCCTTCCGAAAACCAGAGAATTCACCATCCGAATCTTGGAGGCTGGAAAGCAGATGGCGAGTGAGACCATGCATTTAAGAAAGCTAGACTCGGGCCAGTGAGACGGCTCAGTAGGTAAAAGGCACTTGTGTGCAAGCCTGACGACCTGAGTTCGATCCCAGAACCTCAACGGTGGAAGGAGTTGTCCTTTACATGTGTGGTTTCACATGTATGCATGTACCAGAGCATGCATGTGCACAAACACACACACACTCATTTTCTTTCCTTCTGCCACACACACACACACACACACACACACACACACACAAGAGCGCAAACGCCTGAGAGCTAGGCTAGCAGTGAAGCCAGGGCCCAGTTTGTCTGAAGAATCCTCAAAGGGCTCAGAAAGTGGAATGGGGAATTGGAGTGGGGGAGACTGAGGAAAAAGAGATGAGTTGAAAGTGGCTGGAGGAGCAAGCCCAGAGCTCTCCAGAGCCCAAGTCCATGGGGCAGCTGACTAATTCCCACCATGGATATGCATGTCCAAGAAAGATAACAGGTGTCAAGCGTGTTTGAGAGAGCAAGTATGTGCTCAGGGTGATACCCCTCTAGGTTTCTTCCCGGTGAGCTCCCAGAGTGCAGGCAGATGAACACGTACCCAATGGGACGGACAACGGGAAGAAGTTCCTCTTGGGAGGAGAGCAGGAGATGCTGGGGAATCTGGAGGAGAGCAGGAGATGCTGGGGAATCTGGAGGAGAGCAGGAGATGCTGGGGAATCTGGGGGACAGCAGGAGATGCTGGGGACTGGGGGGAGAGCAGGAGATGCTGGGGAATCTGGGGGACAGCAGGAGATGCTGGGGACTCAGGAGGACAGCAGGAGATGCTGGGGACTCGGGGGGACAGCAGGAGATGCTGGGGACTCGGGAGGAGAGCAGGAGATGCTGGGGACTGGGGGGGAGAGCAGGAGATGCTGGGGACTGGGGGAGAGCAGGAGATGCTGGGGAATCTGGAGGACAGCAGGAGATGCTGGGGACTCGGGGGGGAATGGCAGGAGATGCTGGGGACTCAGGGGAGAGCAGGAGATGCTGGGGACTGGGGGGTGGAGAGCAGGAGATGCTGGGGACTGGGGGGTGGAGAGCAGGAGATGCTGGGGACTCGGGGAGGGGAGAGCAGGAGATGCTGGAGACTTGGGGAGGGGAGAGCAGGAGATGCTGGGGACTGGGGGGGGGAGAGCAGGAGATGCTGGGGAATCTGGAGGACAGCAGGAGATGCTGGGGACTCGGGGGGGGGGAAGAGCAGGAGATGCTGGGGACTCGGGGGGGGGTGGAGAGCAGGAGATGCTGGGGACTGGGGGGGGGAGAGCAGGAGATGCTGGGGACTCAGGGGGGAGAGCAGGAGATGCTGGGGACTCGGGGGGGGGAGCAGGAGATGCTGGGGACTCTGAGGAGAGCAGGAGATGCTGGGGACTGGGGGAAGGGGGAGAGCAGGAGATGCTGGCCTTTGGAGCTGCCCAGTACCACTCAAACTCAACACCCCAGTGTGTTGCAGTTGTTTCCTGTAGTATTATAATATCCAGGCCTTATCTGTGCTGGGCAAGCCCTCCACCAGCCCTTGGGTCACCAGGAGAAAATCTCTAACACACATGCTAGAGATCAAACATAAAAACCAAATTGTCACCAATGTCCTCTGAGAAGCAACAAAAGAATTTCCATGAAGTATAAACAGCAAGATTTTTTAAAATTTTAAACCAGGAAAACCAAGGTGAAGAGGCCAATGGAAGGGTGGCCGGGGTTCTGTTACCTGCAAAGGTAGGTTAAATTATATTGGACTAAGTCTCCAGCCAATCGAATGTGGGCAAAATTAAACAAAAACAAGCAAACAGCATAAAAGCCAACTATAGCAGAGAGGCCATAAGCAATGATACACAGGAATCCCACTCAGGTCAAAAGCTGTGCCTTAGCCAGGGTGAGCCATCAGAGGTGAGAGTTTAGGGCTGTCTATCCAGCTGTGAACTGGGGAGAGCTTAAAAAAGAGGAGGACTCGGGTAGCCCCCAGATGTCCCTACACACACACATCCCAAATCACGGGCTCCTTCCTCAGTACAGAGGGAGGCACAAAGCCTTCTGGGAAGGATCTGGGAGGGCTCATGATTTGAGAGGGGCTTTAGCAGCTTCCTGTGCTGGGAAGACAGAATTTGGAGTTTAATTTCTGCCAGGGGTTGGGTCAACAACATGATCTTCCCACCGAAAACCCGTGAGGCTAAGCAAATCTGAAGACTCCCTAATCTTTACATCAGTGGTTTCCAACCTTCCTACTCCCACAACCCTTTAATACAGTTCCTTGTGTTGTGGTGACCCCCAGCCTAAAATTATTTTAACTGCAGTTTTGCTACCATTATGAATCATGATGTAAATATCTGTGTTTACCAGTGGTCTTAGGGGACCCCCGTGAAAGGGTTGTTTGAGAAGGCTGAGAACCACTGCTTTAAATGAAGCCTCTGCAGAATCACAGGGATCAGAGCTGGAGAGATGAATGGCTTGCCATGCATGCATGGGGACCGGACTTTGGATCTCCAGAACACATGTAAAATGTCAGGTAGGCATCATGGCATGCCTGTAACCCCAGCCTTGCAGAGGGAAGATGGGGATCCCCAGAGAAAGCTGGCTAGCAAGACTAGTCACTTGACTGAGAGCTCCTGCCTCAGTGAGGTAGAAGAGTTGCTTATGATTCCCAGCATGCACCTTGGTCTCCACATCACATTCACTTGTGAGAGAAACTGAGGACACGGCAGGGGAAATGGAAGCAAGAAGTCTCTGTGACTTGTCATTCACAGGGACTGGTATTCTAGGAGGAGCGGGAAAATGGGACCAGTAATCAAAGGGGAAATGTAAGGCAAGTGTGAGAGTTAGCTGTTGGAAGGGGCAGCCGTGGGATCAAACTATCTGCTGTAAATATTTAAATAAGCTGCAGTGGGTGACAATGTGGGGTGATTCATTTTTGTTCTCAAGAGACAGGGTCTTACTATTATAAACTGGTCTTGAACTTGACATGTGCCTAGACATGCCCTGAATTAATGATCCACCTGTCTTAGACTCCGGAGTGCTGGGATTACAGGCCATGGCTGTCCCTATTTTAGAAATACAAAGGGAGGGGCCAGGCATGATGGCACTTGATTCCAGCACTATACAAGCAAGTGCAGTTGGAACTCTGTGAATTCAGTCCAGCCTGGTCTACATAGAAAGCTCAGGCCAGCCAGGGCTACACAGTGAGACCCTGTCTACAATATAAAGAAGTAAAGGCATAAATATAAAAGGACTAGATGGCCAAGCATGGTGCACACCTTTAATCCCAGCACTCGGGAGGCAGAGGCAGGTGGATCTCTGTGAGTTCCAGGCCAGCCTGGTCTACAGAGTGAGTTCCAGGCCATCCTGGGCTACAGAGTGAGTTCCAGGACAGCATGGGCTACGGATACCCTGTCTTAAAATTTAATTAATTAACTAGTTAACTGGCCTTGGAGAAGCTACGTGATTCATGTCATTTCAGATCTAATATAACAAGAAGCTCATTTAAGGGCACAGGCCTATGGGCACAGGCCTATGCTCACAGCACTCAGAAGCCTGCGCTGGGACTGAGGCAGAGGCCAGCATGGGCCGCATAGTGAGGCTGTCTCCAAAGAAAAAGAGAAAGAGTGCCTGGCTGGCATGCAGAAGAACTCAACCTGAGATCTGAAAAGAACACCAAGCTAAAAATGGGCTGCTGGAAAAGGATGCTTGTCTAGCATGCATGAGGTCTTCCTGGGTTTGATTTCCAAGAGTGCAAAAACAAAACAAACACCTAAAGACAATTTTCATTACATTTTATTATTTTTAAATATTTTTATAAAATTTTCATTACATTTTGTGTGTGTGTGTGTGTGTGTGTGTGTGTGTGTGTGTAGACATGTGCGTACCACAGTGCACGTGTGGAGGTCAGAGGGCACTTGCAGGAGTCGGTTCTCTCCTTTCACCATGAGGGTCCCAGGGGTCAAACTCAGGTCACAGGCTTGGTGGCAGTACCTTTACCTGCTTAGCCATCGCTCCGGGCCTAAAAACAATTTTTTAAAAAAAGAGACGACAAAAGAAAGAAAAGTGATGTGGCCATACCGAGAAGAATTAACATTGATACAGAAGGTCACCTCATAGTGATAAAACGTTAAAAAGACATCAAAATAATATATGCATCACACAGAGACATGCAGCAAGAGAATTTAAAAATATGTGAAGCAAAAACTGACACACCAATGGGAGACAGACAAATCTGATTAGAAAGTTAAGCTGAGACTGTTTCCCAGAAACTAGAGCAGGACCCAGGCAGGCACACGTGGGAGATTATCTTGGCCGTGTTAGCTGGGGTGAGCCCACTGTGGGTGGCACCATTTCCTGGTCAGAGGGGCGCCTGAGCAGACGTGTGCGTTCTGCTGCCTGACTCTAGATCCGATGTCACCAGCTGCATTCAGCTCTTGCTGTTTTGACCTCCTTGCCACCAGGGACTGCCTGGAACTGTGGGCCAGATAAACCTTTTCTCCCTTCGGTTTTGCTTGTCAAGTATTTTTACTGAAGCAACAGAAAAAGAGACTAAGGCAGATTTTCCTGTCTCCTTGCTGGAGCCAGAGAGATCTCTGAGCCTGGGAGCCTTTGTACATTGGTTTCTGGGGTTGGTCTTTACTTACTGAGGCATCTAAATTCAATACTGAGAGGTTGAGAAATAGCTCACAAATACTGCTCTGTGACAGTCCCAGCTTAAGTCCCCAGCACCTACACAGTGGTTCACCCATTTGTAACTCCAGTCCTAAGGGAATTTGTCACCCTCTTCTGACCTCCCTGGACACCAGGTACACCTGCAGTCCCTATGCACATGCAAGTAAAAGAGTCATACACATAAAAAAATAAATAAATAAGCCAGGCACGGTGGTGTAACCTTTAATCCCAGCACTTGGGAGGTAGACGTGGGTGGATCTCTGAGTTTGAGGCCACCTGGTCTACAGATTGAATTCCAGGATGATCAGAGCTACATTAAGAGACCC